TCTAGATCAGTGGTCTCCAACTTTGGCAATTTTGACACCTGTGGACTTCAACTCCTAGAGCTTTGCTGGCTGAGGAACTCTGGGAGTTGAAGTCCACAAGTCTTAAAGTTGCCAAGGTTGGAGACCACTGATCTAGAGCAGGCCGGGAGGAAGTGACGTCACAAACGCTTTCCGCTCTAGGACGCGTCCCTCGCTCTGCTTAACCCCTGGGGCTCCGCAGGAGGCTGAGAGGCTGCGGAGAGTCTGGCGGGGGTGAGGTCCAGACGTGACCCGGGTGAGGGGCGGCATTTTGCGGTCAAAGGGAGGCGGAGTAGGGAGAGACCCGCGCCCGACCCTCCTCCGGCTTCAACCCCGTGTCCCATGTTCCCCAGCCGCACTCTCCATGCAAGAGGAAGCGGGGATCCCAGGAAGGCTGCGGGGATCCGGGGAAGAGCCCGAGTAGGGGGGGGAGGGCAGGCACAGCAGGAATGGAGAGAAGCCGGGCGAGGAGGAGGCAAGATTCGCACCAGGCTCCCCGAGGGCTCGATCCTGTCTCCGGAGGGGGAGAGAAGCGGGGCGGCCTCTCCAGCTGCCTCCTTCCCGGCCCTGCGCTGGGATGAGCCGCTTGGGGCTCCGGGCAGGTTGGGTGAAGGTTGTTCAGTGGCTGAATTCCACTTTCTAATTCTTGGCTTTTCTTTTTCTTTCCATCTCAGATACAGAAACTGGAAGCCATTTGGGGTCTTTGAAAGGCAAACTTTTTTCTTGGGAAGGAAAAAAAAGCAGAATAACTTGCAAGGATCCGTCCTGCAGCCCCAGAAATGGTCCCGTGAAGGAAAAGGCATCCGGAGACCCACCAGAGTCCTGGGAGCCATCTGGAGTTGCTCTGCAGGACAGAGATAGGATGGAGACACAAACTTTTGCCAAGGAGGGAAGCAGAAAAGTCCCTTCAGTTGTTCAGCCTGGGAAGGGAGGGGAGCTCTGGACAAGGACTAGGCAGAAGATCCTGGAGGAGGAAACCATCCTCCCTTCAGAAGTTCAGCTGTGGAATTTCATCCAATACTGGGAGGCTGAGGGTCCCCGAGGATTTTGCAGCCGACTCTATGACGTTTGCAGGCGATGGCTGAGACCAGAAAAACACACCAAAGCCCAGATGCTGGACCTGGTGGTTCTGGAGCATCTCCTGGATCTTCTGCCTCCAGAGATGGAGAGCTGGGTTCGGGAGTGTGGAGCAGAGAGCAGCTCCCAGGCGGTGGCCCTGGCAGAAGGCTTCCTCCTGAGCCAGGCGGAGGAGCAGAAGGAACAGGTCCAGTTGCAGGTGAGAGACTTAAGGGAGCTCAGAAGGGAATAGAGAAAGTGTCTGAATATTTCACCCCTCCTTCCCAAACTTCTCTGACATTCATCATACGTGGCAATTCACCAATTCTTGTAGGACATTGTTCCATTGTTTTCTCATTCGACCTCACAGGTGGATATTGGGGGCCTTGAGGTTGTGTTCCGAATATAAGAATCCACTTTATTTCATGTGATGTACATTAATTCTGCTTCTTTTTCCTTCCTCCCATTTGAAGTGCTGCGCTTTGGAGATCAGAGATCCTGAGGGAGAGAAGAACCCATCAAATCCGCCTCAGGAGCTATTTTTCAGGACGATCCCTTGGGAAGATCAAAGTCAGGACACCTCAGGAGGTAGTGGAAGATACTCCAATTGGCCATCTGTCTTACCTTCAATCTCTCTTCTCTTCTATAGAATACCTCCTCCTATTTTGTTAATTACGCATTTTGAAATTATTTATTCTTTACAGAGAAACAAAGAATGAAGCTTTCTAGTTTTTATGACGGAGAACAAACAGCGGCTGAACCTCCAAAACAAGTAAGAAAGGGAAAAGTAATTATATTTCTATTCTCCCTTCAGGAAGTGAAGTGGGTGTGCAGAGTGCTCTCTCCTATTTTCCTCTCTTGTTTGGCCTGGATTATTCTTGTGATCTTCCACAACATGGAGAGCAGAATAGAAAGTTCAAGTTGCTATCAGCCAGCATAGTTTCCTCTGGTTATCTTGTTTTGCTAGATACTCCTCCAACTTTGAGTTTATAAGAAACAATTTTTGAAAAGTCCTTCAAGAAATAGGAACAAACATATTACAGTGGCAGGAACTGCTAGAGACCCTATTTATTTATTTTTTGGGTAATTCTCTGACTTGGAATTGTGCAAGGCTAATGAAAAATAACTAAATTCATTGCCTCATTACAATTTTTAAAAAGCCTGGTTAATAGCCCGTAGTTCAAAAATAAGCAAATCATATTAAAAAATGAAGCAGACTATTAAAATCCAAGGGGAGTGGCCATGTTGAACATGTAATCACGGTACTTTGGGCTACAAAATAATTTCCAATTATCTGATTTGGATTAGGAGATCAAACATTCCCGCTTTTCAATGGCTGAGAAATGACTTTCCTAGGGAATTTTCTCTTCTTCGTCTGAACATTACTCAGACTACTAAATCAATCAATGATAGACAGAGCGATAGTTCTTTATATGTTTTAACCACCAGTCTACTAATAAATTTGGTTGCTCTTCTCTGGACTCTTTCTAGAGTCTCTTTTTTTACATCTGGATGCAATATTCCAAATGTGGTCTTACCAAGGCATTATAAAGTGGTACTAACACTTCATGTCATCTTGATTCTATCCCTCTGTTAATGCAGTCTATGATTCTGTGTGTGTGTGTGGGGGGGGGGTGTTGGCAACTGTAGCCTACTGCTGACTCATGTTTCAGTGGTTGTCCACTGGGACTCAAAATTCCCCGTTGCACTTACTACTGTTGAGCCAGGTATCACCTATTCTATGCCTGTCCATGTGGTTTTTCTTCCCTAAATGTAGAACTTTATATTTCTCACTGTTGACTTCATTTTGTTAGATGGGGTCCAATCTGTTGATCCTTCTATATCTGGAGCTATATTGCCAAAAGTATTCGCTCACCTGCCTTTACTCGCATATGAACTTACTGTAAGTGACCTCCCATTCCTAATCCATAGGGTTCAATATGACGTCAGTCCACCCTTTGCAGCTACAACAGCTTCAACTCTTCTGGGAAGGCTGTCCACAAGGTTCAGGAATATGTTTATGGGGATTTTTGACCAGTCTTCCAGAAGCGCATTTGTGAGGTCACACACTGATGTTGGATGAGTTT